AGTGAGGTTGGCCCAGGATTGGACATTGTTTCGTTCTGCTGTGCATGGGGTTGCTATGAGTCGGTTCTGACTCAATGGCACCTGACAACAACAACAAATGACAACAATATATTTATGTTGTTGTTGTTAAGTGCTGTAGAATCAGTTCCAACTCAGAGTGACCCCTGTTTAGGGTTTCCAAGGAGCAGCTGGTGAGCTAGAACTGCCGACCTTGCAGTTCAAATGACTTTGCAGTGTGACGCATTAGCCCACAGTGCAGTCGGCTATAGGGACTGCTCATTATTATTGTGGAGTTTTTTAAACAGATACAAAGACAGAGAAAAGCCTGATGAAATCCCATGAGTCTGTGCTCCAACACCAGACCATAGAATAATGCCACCAGGCAAACCTGGGTAACATCCACTGGAGAGGCCTCAAACAGGCAGCCTGGAGGGCACAGACTAGAGGGCTGGGGTCACACTCAGCATTTACCTTATCATGCTGAAGTGTCTGTTCATTTCTCAGTCTGTCTACTAGACAGCAAGATGTCTTATCTTCTTGTTCCTACCTTCTGGGATTCAAAATGTCTATCACAGGGTAGATACTTAATGACTGAGGAGGGAAGGAGGGGGCCAGGTCCAGTGAACAGGCCCACATTAATCCTGCTCTCCCCCTCACAGCACCCAGCAAAGACCTACCCGGTGTCGCTCCCACCACACGACTGAGTGAGCAAGAAGAAACTGGGAGAATCATCGAGATGCAGCGCCTAGAAATCCAGCGCCTCCGAGACCAGATCCAAGAGCAAGAGCAGGTCCCGGGGTTGCACTCCCTCGCCGGAGCTCGGCTTCCTTCTCTCCTCGAATCAGAGCTAAACTTCGAGGAGCAGACCAACTGACCTCTCTGGTGGACCATCCTCAACCCCTTCTGCCACAGCCAGAAGCAGCACTGTGTGTACACCACACGCGTGTCCCCAGGCCAAATTCTGGGCTGGAGTCTCTGAAGCACTAAGCCCACCTATCCTCTTTCTAGCTGTCCTGAGGATTTTGAGACACAGTAGAATAAAGTGTTTGCTCACAGTGGTGTCCTCTCTGCTTACCAGAGTGCTGAGGGTTGTTGTTGTCATTGTTAGGTGCCATTGACTCAGTTCTAACTCACAGTGACCCTATGCACAATAGAATGAAACCCTGCCCGTCCTGCGCCATCCTCACAACACTTGTTATTCCTGCGCCCATTGCTGCTGCCCCTGTGCCAGTCCATCTCATTGGGAGCATTCCTCTTTTTCACTGACCCTCCACTTTACCTAGCATGATGTCCTTCTCCAGGGACTGGTCCCTCCTGATATGTCCAAAGTATGTGAGCCAAAGTATTCTGGCTTCTAGGGAGCATTCTGGCTGTACTTCTTCCAACACAGATCTGTTTGTTCTTTTGACACTCCGTGGTACTTTCAATATTCTTCTCCAACACCATAACTCAAATGCATTAATTCTTCTACAGTCTTCTTTATTCATTGTCCAACTTTCATATGCATAGAAGGCTATTGAAAATACCATGACTTGGGCCAGGTGCAACTTAGTTCTCAAACTGACGTCTTTGCTGTTGAATACTTTAAAGAGGTCTTGTGCAGCAGATTTTCCTAATGTAACATGTCATTTGATTTCTTGACTGTTGCTTCCATGAGGGTTGATAGTGGATACAAGCAAACTGAAGGTTTTGTGAACTTCAATCTTCTCTCCATTTAACATGATGTTATTTATTGGTCCCAGTGGTTAAGATTTTTCTTTTCTTTACTTTGAGGTGCAACTCATACTGTAGGTTGTGGTCTTTGATCTTCATCAGTATTTTAAGTCCTCTTCTCTTTCAGCTAGCAAGGTTGTATCATCTTCATATTGCAGGTTGTTAATGAGTCGTCCTCCAATCCCGATGCCTCATTCTTCTTCATATAATCCAGCTTCTTGGATGCTTTGCTCAGCATACATATTGAATAAGTATGGTGAAAGAATTCAACCCTGGCACACATCTTTCCTGATTTTAAACCATTCAGTGTCCCCTTGTTTTATTCGAATGACTGCCTCTTGGACTATGTGCAGGTTCCTCATAAATACAATGAAGTTTTCCGGAATACTTACTCTCCACAATGCTGTCCATAGCTGTCATGATCCACACAATCAAAAGCATCTGCATAGTCAATAAAGCACAGGTAAACATCTTTCTGAGATTCTCTGCTTTCAGCAAAGATCCATCAGACTTCAGCAATGATATCCCTCATTCCCTGTGCTTGTCTGGTACCAGCTTGAGACTCTTGACAGTTCCCTGTCAGGGTATGGTTTCAACCATTTTTGAATTATCTTTAGCAAAATTTTAATTTCATGTGATACTAACAACATTGTCCAATGATTTCTGCATTCCTTTGGGTCGCTTTTCTTTGGAATGGCAGAGGGTAGAGAAAGAAGTGAGGACTTGGGAGAGGAGGTCCCAGTTCATGCAAAGCCACTTGTCTCTGTCACCCCAGTGATCACACTAGTCTTTGGGGCTGACCTGCCACTGCCTTTCTTCCCTGGATCCTAAGAACTGCCTACTTCCATCTTAAATATCACCCTTTGCTGCTTCTGACCAGCTTTGTTCTGGCTTTCTGCTCTGCTGGATAGGTCAAGATTACACAAAGCCTCCTGCATTGTATTCTGTGTAAAATATTATGAGGCTTCCTATGGATTTGAACTTGTATGTAAAGACAAGGGAAAAGATGGCAGTAATAGGATGAAAGTTACAAGAATTTCTCAAAGCTGACCCTGTTCTTTAGCATATAAGCAGAACTCTGCCCTTAACTTCTCTTATTGCTACCCCACCTTAGATTTGCCATCTTTGTTCTGTAAAGACCTATCTCACTCCTTCATTTCTGGGGACACCTTTGTCTCTAGACTCCTTCCCACACAGGCCCCATACTGGGAGAAGCAACCACAGACAAGTACCAGGAAACATAGTTTTTATGCAATGAAAAGCAAAGGACTGTAACCCAAGTATCCCTATCTACTCCCATCTGCAAAGGGAAGACATTTCTCTAATACCCAAAGAAATAGTTAAGTCCCCAAGCCCTACTGGACACCTCTGAGTGTCCTTCACCTGGTGTTTCCAAGGCAGTGGCTGTTCTCCCCATCTTGCCCCTGCTTTACCTCAATGCTGACCATTACTCATGCTTATCCTTCACATTGAGAGCCAAGGCTTAGCTATCACTTTTAGCAAGGCTTTCCTGAAGGCTGGAGAGATCAGAAGATCCACTCCAGAGGCCACAAAGCAAAGTACCCTTAAGTTCCACAGAGCCCTGACTCTCCTTAGCAGCCCCCAAGCCGGCACCCTGTGGCAGGACCCTTGTCTTTACATATACAGGAACCCTCCTTAAGTTTCCTACCCTCTGCTCCAGGTTGATCCCAACTCACAGTAACCGAACAGGACAGAGTAGGACTCTCCATAGGGTTTCTGACTGTAAATTTTTGTAGGAGCAGACTAACCTGATCTTTCTCTCATGGAGCAACTGGTGGGTTTGAACCACCAACCTTGGGAGTAGCAGCCCACTGTTTAACCCACTGTACCACCAAGGTTCTGATGTTTCATACAGAAGACAATTTTCTTCATTCCAGCATGTCTTCTCCCCTTTTACAACACCAGGCTTAGTTAGAGTAGGGAAAGATGCAGTCACAGAGACACCTCATGGCATTATACACAATGGTCACAACAATGGACTTGAGAATAATCATGAAGATACCGCATGACTAGGCAGTGTCCACATGACAGTGGTGTCAACTTGAGGACCACTAACAAACATAACGTCTTAGCCATGGTGAATTTCTTTCTAGTCCTCCAGAAAGGTTCCTTGGCACTTTTCTCCTTCCCAGGTCATCTTTCCTCTCCCTTTGCTTGGTTAGCTCCCACCAGTCCTAACCCAGAAGTAGACATGCTCTTCAAGCTGACTCTAACTAACTCATGGTGAACTGGTAAGCACAATAGAATGAAATGTTGCCTGGTCATGAATATTTACAATCATTGGGATGCTCAAGTCTACTGTTGCAGACATTGTGTATCTTGAGCACCTTCCAACCTAGGGGGCTCGTCCTTCAGCAATATCCGATGGTATTTGGTTGTGATCCATAAGGATTTTATTGGCTAGTTTCCAAAAGTAGATCACCAAGCCTTTCTTCCTCATCTGCCTTAGTCTGGAGGCTTCACTGAACCCTGTCTTTCACAGGTAACCCTACTGGTATTTCAACTTCCGGTATCATAGCAACATTCAAGCCTCCACAGGATGACAAACTGACAGACGGGTTTGTTTGTTGTTATATGCCGTTGAGTCAAGTTGGTTCTGACTCATTGCAATCCTGTATTGGGTTCCCAAGGAGTGGCTGGTGGGTTTGAACCGCTGATCTTGCAGCAGTCCAGTGATTATCCTATTGTGCCACACCAGAATCCTTCAACATTGCAAGTCAAGGCTTAATTTTTTTTCTTCAGTTGTTTCACCTTGAGACAGGCTGAGTCTAGTCTTCCCTTTTGGTTTTCTAATTCCAGGTCTTTGCACATTTCATTATAATACTTGGTTTTGTCTTCTTGAGCTGCCCTTTGAAATTTTATGTTCAGCTCTTTTGCTTCCTCATTTCTTCCATTTGCTTTAGCATCTCTATGCTGGAGAGCACATTTCAGACACTCTTCTGACATCCATTTTGGTCTTTTCTTTCTTTACTGTCTTTTTAATGATCTTTTGCTTTATGTCTGATGTTCTTGATGTCATCCCACAGTTCTTCTGGTCTTTAGTTATTAGTGTCTAATGCTTCATATCTGTTCTTGAGATGTTCTCTAATTTCAGGTGGGATCTGTTCAAGGTCATATTTTAGACTTATTTTCATTTTCTTCATCTTCTGCTTGAACTTATATATGAGCAATAGATGGTCTGTTCCACAGTCAGTCCCTGGCCTTGTTTCGACTGATATTATTGAGCTTTTTCACCGTCTCTTCCCACAGATGTGGTCAATTTGATTCCTGTGTGTTCCATCTGGTGGTGTGTTCCATATGTATAGCCACCTTTATGTTGTTTAAAAACGGTATTTTGCAACAAAGACATCATTGGTCTTGTAAAATTCTATTATGAGATATCCAGCATCATTTCTATCATCAACAGTACCTTAGCATCTATTAGGAGATGCCCCCAGGTTGAAATAGAATCCCCAGTCTGCTTTCATTTAAAATTTTTTATTGTGAATTGAGTGAAGGTTTACAGACAAGATCATCAGTTTTACATTCAACAAATCACACACTTTGTTTCATCTCAATGATTACAATCTCCTCCATGAAACAACAGTTATCCCACTTCCTCCCTGTGCATCTTATTTTTATTCCACCCTCCTTCCCAACCCTTCTCAACTTTGTCTTTAGGTAACTGTTGCCCTTTTGAACGTGAATGGTTGATCATTCCATGGAGAGCAGACCTTACTAGTTTTGTTATCCCCTCACCATTCCCCCAGATACCTATCTGCCTAATCTGCTTTTAAATTACCAAAGGAGTATGTTTTGAGCCCCACTTTAGTCCAGTCGACTATAGCTGTTCAGGTGGGTCACAAAATATGATCTTTTTTCTTGGGGTCTTATTCTGGAGAGAGGATGGTTACTTTGAGTGGGGCAGCTATCCCAGAGGTTGTCTGTATCTGGGCACTATCACACTCCCAGAACCACTGATGACCTACTGCTCTACCTCAGTTGATGCCCATTATTCCCCTAGCCTGCCCTTCAGGACAGTAGCTCTGGTGTCTGTCTTGCTAACCACTGTATTTCTAGCAACTTATAGAATTGTACTTGGTCTGAAGAAGGGACACACAAGGGTAAGTCAAAAGATATTGCTACTAGGACTCCAGTTCA